TGTGTGTGTGTGTGTGTGTGTGTGTGTGTGTGTGTGTGTGTGTGTGTGTGTGTGTGTGTGTGTGTTTTTCAGGTAAAGCTTTCCTGCGTGCCCGTCAGATGAATGTGGACATTGCCACCTGGGTCCGCCTCCTGAGGAACGCCATCCCCAGTGGAAGCAACACGCCCGCGTACACGCCCAGTTTCTCCAGCAACTCGCCCTCAAACACCACAGGGTGTGTAAATTATTTACCTGAATTTTAATAAAAACACAATTAAATAGTGTCACCTGCTGTCCTGTGTGTCTGATAAAACACAGACTTGATTTTGCTTTAATAGGATATTTTAGCCACTTTAAAGTGAGGTTCTGTAAAAAAAAAAAAAAAAAGACTGTTAATATCTTACCTGTTGTAGATAACTCTTTGTTTGACTCAAGTTTAAAGTTAGGATTCATGAGCTAATGGCTGGTCCACATGCAAACATTGTGATTTTCCAGAAAGAAGGGCTCTAAGCATGAAGGTTGCTACAGCTATCTGCTGCTGCTGCTGCTATTTATTCCTACAAATAACAAATTTCGATGTAAAAGAAAACATGTATTATTTATTAAAGGATTTCTAAAATAGTGCTGTATGAATCAGTACAGCTTGTTTTAAATTGTTTAAGGATCAGCAATTTGTTTTGGTCCTGGCCCTGCTAGGACTAGCCTTTAGCTCATCTGTCTGATAAGAATTAAACACTATTTCTTCAAAGTGAGGTTATTCTAATAGCTGTCCTGATGAGGCATTAAATATTCACAAGTTTTCCCCAGAACCCCACTTCAAATTGGCCAAAATATCAATTCAAATGTTTTAATTCTCTGTTAAGTTTTTTAAATGTGGATGAAATAATGGTGAATTTAAAATTTTTATTCTTCTGAAAAGTCCCCTCGAATGCTCACCGCTCATATATTTGACTCAGAAAGTCCACAGAACTTTAAAACTCAAATTATCTGCAGGGGTAAACTGTTCGTGTCTCATTACATCCCTCACACACATCCAGCCGTCCAACATCTATCAGGAAAMAGGAAGCTTTGTTATTTGGAAGAGAAGAATCCACTGAAACATCAGCTACTGTTTGTTTATTGGTCTACTTTCCACTCTCCTTCTCAAAAGAGCAACATCGGTTTAAAAAAAACAAAAACAACAAAAACTCCTTATTTATACATTTTTCAAGCCGAGTGTCGCTGCTCAGCTGCTTGTAATGACTTTTCTGCATGCCAGTATCATCCCCTTAAACATATATCCTCCACTCTAACCACATTATTTGGTAACGAGCCTAGATGTAAAATATGATTAAAGGAGACATATCATGCTAAATGCACTTTTTTTGCATTTATAAACTATTTTTTGTGCAATTATAGTGTCTAGGAGTGTAGAAAACTTTAATTTATTCTGTCC